ACACCAGCCGTGCTATAGAATAAATGACTCACCGTCTGCTTTAAGGCAAGCCTTGAATCTAATTTGCAGTCCTTACAGCCAGGAGAAGGTTACTGGCTCTGCTCTGGGTAACTTGAAACTCGAGGAGCCACCTCCAGCTCCCAGTCCTGCCCTGACTTCAGGAGGTCCCGTTTTTGGGGGCAGAAAATGCCCCGAGGCCCCATAATTCGCTTTTGTTCTCTGCCCGTGCTGGAAGGCTTGTGCAGCTCCATGGCATCAGCACATTCCTGAGGAGGGGAACACGCATTCCCAGCGCTCCAGCTCCAGTCCCTGCCCCTGCAGCTGTGGAAGGTGTAGGGAAGAGGTTGAGATTCAGCTCCTTTGCTGCCACATCCCCTCGTCCCTCCGTGGTCATCACCACCTTGTCCTCAGCGCTGAGGTCACACGGGGACCTGTCACAGCTCCTCAAGCAGCAGCTGAAGGTGCCCCAGGGTGTTCCAGCCCCTGTTCACTGATTATTTTTCATGGTGACAACACACCCGTTGCCGGTGGCTGGATGAGCACCCTCTGCCCTGGGACACCCCAGGGCACCCCCGGGACCACCAGTGCCATTTGCTGGCCTGGATTCCAGCCTTGGGATGACACCTCAGAGCCATCCACAGTGTTTATTTATTCTTCTGCTCCTCGAAATTGTGTGTTTGCTGAAGTCGAGGTTCCTGGTGCTGGGGATGAAGCTTTTCTTTGGGTTTTCCCCTAAAAAAGCCACGTGGCCTTGGCAGAGGCCACATACACAGGCCCACAGCCCTGCCCCTGCTGCTCACGGCCTCCCAGGGGTCATAACTTCACTCCCCACCTGTATTTATTTAATAATATTTAATAATATGACCATTATTTCATTGTAAGTACACTGAAACCCCACTTTATTTCATGAGCTCAATGCAGAGAGTTATTGAGAGCTCCCCGCCCCCCTATTTCATATTTTCCTAGTAAAACGTGTAAAATAGCTACTTTCACCCCAAAGTGGCACCTGGAGGCTCAGAACTGGCTCCAGGGGGGCTGTTCCCACCCACAGCCAGAGGCTGCAGGAGCAGGACCCCCAGGAATGTGGTTTAACCAGGGGATGGCTCCCCTTGCAGGGTAAGGAGCTCTGGGAGTGCCACAGGGGGTTCAAAGCTGACTGGAGGGGAGGTTTTGTTCAGCCCCTCTCCTCATTCCCATGGGATTCTAATGCTGTTGTCACCTTCTGGACCCAGGGAAGTGGCCAGGGCACAGCAGGGATGTCCCCGTGCTGCACAATAGGGATTCACCCCCTTTCACAGCCTTTCTACAAATTAAATACAGGCAACTTCTTACCAACCTCAACAGCAAATGGCAAGAGGAAAAGATCTGGGAGAATCCATAGAATTTGTGCCATAGTGTGTGTAAATAACAGGGAAGAGCTGGAGCTGGCAGGATTAGTCCTTCTGTGAGGTGTGTGAGTCTGTGGGCTGAAAAAGCCATTTCCCCACTTGGCAGCTGCAGGAAAACTTCCTTGTTCACAGATCCTTTTGAAAATTGGATGAGATCTTTGCTCTTCTCCTCAGATTGCTTCTCAGCCCTAATCCTCCAAGCTAATTTAGGGAGGATAAAAAAAACAACAAAAGAGACACTTGGTAGAACATCACTCCTTGACAGAGAACAAGGAGCATCACAAGGCTCTTGTGGCAGGAGTTTGGTCCCAGCACCCCCTCACTGGGGCTCAACACGATCCAAGGACATTTAAGGGCCTCCTGAGAAGAAGAAGCAGCTAAACAGGCTGCAGGAAAATATAAGAAATGTTCTGTTTGAGCTTAAAAACTGGCAACTGCTGCTGTTGCAGCCCAGGGACTGCAGCTCTGCTGCAACTCTCCATGGCTTTTGCAGGAAAGCTGAGTTAGAGCAAGAGCCAAAAGAGATGGAGAATCCCTGGGAAAGCAAGAAGGTTAATAAATCTTTTGTTCTAAGAAAGCAGTTTGGTAGGAAGAAATGCAATGATCTGAGAAGTACTAATGACTTGCTTTTCAGGCAGTAATCCCTCCCCGAGGAGAGGCAGCTCCGCTACGTGAGGATTAGGCAACAAAATGCCACATTGACAACTTCAAACTACTCAAGAGCCAAGTTATTCTTATTTCTCTCTGCAGGTCAGCCATGAGAACCAGTCCAAGAGACAAGGAAGGGGCTCAGTCTCCTTTTTGAGCTCTTTTTGCTCCCTGCAGCAGCCCCAGAGGCAGGTCCTGCCCGGAAGGTTCAGCACCACCAGCCTGACCCACCAACATGCCACAATAGCTGTGCAGAGCTTTAAGGAGCTCCCAGTCTGGGTGGAAATACCAATTTCTGGAGCTTCCAATCTGGGTGGAAAGAGCCATAAATATCCACCCAACAGCACAGCTCAGACAGGTTCAGTTTTGTGTTGTCACCCGCCCCCTCCCCTGCTGGCCCCGAAGGATCGCGCGCGGGGGCCGCGCTCGTGACAAACGCTCTGCAGAGCAAGGAGGTGTCGAGTCCCACGTTCCTCAGCGTGGTGGGGAAGCTGCCAGCTCTATTTCTGCACCACAAACCGGCCCACCTTGTTTAGGAACACGGCTCTCCTGGGGATCCCCCGGGATCTGCTGCAGGGGACGAGGCTCCGGAACGCGCCGCGATTCCAGTAAGCGGTTGCACAACGCGGTCAGGTCATAAAAGAGCCAAAAGAAGGAATTGCACAAGTGAAGAGCTTTTTGGAAGGGAACCCGGTCGTGGCCACCTGCCAAAGTTGTTTTCCAGGGATCAAATGGTGCTGAAGAGAAACATCTGACCAAGTCCAGCCCACAAGTGGAAATACTTCCGATTCACCCCTTGCTCGCTTTAGCAACTGGAGAGCTGTGGATTGTCTCACTGGAGCAGGAGATCATCCTACTGACACCCAAATCCAACTGGGCTCCTACTGCACATGTCACCTCAGCCCACGTTCTCGTTTTAGAGGGGTAAACCTCGGGGCCTTCCCCCCTGCTCAGAGGTTTCAACCACCAGCGGCCAAAGCTGGCAAGAAACATGTTCTCATGTGAACAACAAAACTGGCAGTTCTGGTCTGAAGGAAATGGTAAAACTGGGAGAAGTAAGAGAAAAAGAAACCTTGGCAAGACTAGTGGCTTTGGACAGAATGAGCAGCTTTCTTTTTTAATGTTAAAAGAAAAATGTAGATAAATCAAGATGTTTCCATCTTTTATTCCCTCAGAGTGAAATAAAGGAGGGAATAAATTCCACTGTGCTGGTGGAATTAAAGAAGGGCAGTGATTAACACTGGGAAATTGAAAATGGGGTTTATCTCCTTTCTGGAGGAGCCTAAGGATGTTTTCAGAGTGCATTTACCAGTACCTTCCCAATCCACCCCATCTGACCACACTTGGGTGTGACACAGGAGTGATGTAAAACCAAGGCTGTGCCCACTAAATGGGCCAAAAATTCATTACAAACTTTGGGGGTTGGGGGGGGCTCTCAAAAGTAAAACTGAGGCTTCCAAGAGGTTATTCCCTTGTCCTAACCTACTCCTCAGCCTCACCAAGCCCAAGGAAATAGCAGATGAGAGGTCGGAAAAGAGAGAACAGGGGACCTGCTGAGGGTCTACAAACCCCAGGAGAAGGTCTGTGGGTCATGTTGCTCTGCCAAGTGTGAACAAACAACAGCTGTGCCATGGCCAGGTGCCAGGAAAACCACCCAAGAACCTGGATTGGGGAACTGGTGATGTGGGACCACAAGGGTTAAGATGAAGACAAAAGCACCACTTGGAGAAACAGTGGCCCAGCTGCTCCTCCAGCACTTGGAGTTCTGGTAAAGACACCAAAAACCTACAAGAGCACCGAGAGGAACCACAGAGCTAGTTAAATATTAATTGGGAACACCCTTTCTGGACAGAGATTCCAAGTCACTGAAGGAGGAGTGGATCTGTTTGGCTCCTGGTGACTCAATTCTGGACCAGTGACCTACAAGGTGTATTTAAGCTCAGTAATCAGGAGCTCATCAATCTGACACATGGACTCACCAGCTGGAGAGACCAAAGGCTGCAACAAGACAAGTTCAGATGTCAAAGACAAGGGAGATTTTTAGGCATGAGGCTAATTAACCCCTCACTCCTGTAATTAGAGCATCTACAAACCTGCTTGGTCATGAGAAATGGGAAAGAAAGATCAGGGCAGCGCAAGGATGTCACAAGAATTAGGGAGATAAACAACTGCTGGGATTTCTGCCTGACTTCAGAGATGCAGTGAACACACAGACCTCAAGAGACCCAGAAGTGAGACAACTGGAGGCTCTCCTGCCTCAACTTCCAGCTGCATCCACGATGTCCCAGCGGTGGCAGACAACAGGCACATCCCTGGGCTGGGAATGAGCCTTTGCTGAACTCACAGCACAACCTGAGCACGTGAAACCTTCCAAAATTCACCTTTAGAGGCAAAGCAAAGCAAACCACACTTGTTTTCTTGCTCCAGCCTCCTCTTCCTCTGGCATTTTCGCGAAATAAGTTGGATAAGTAACCCACACTACACCCTAAAATATAATGTACAAGAGCCCAAAAGGCTGTTCAAGGGGAAGAATGACTCCCATTCAAATCACACCCCTCCTTCCCAGCCTGTAGCTCAGCACAATTATGCCCAAATCACACAAAGTGTTAATGAACTACCACACAAAGGCCATTTCCACTACGAGGCAATTACTTTTTTTTTTTTTAATTCAAAGAAAAAAAAATGGTATTTTAATAAATACTGCAGAAACATTAACCAAACATACAAAGTGACTTCAACAATTTAAAAAAAAAAAGTAATGAATGTCCTGCTTTATGACAGTTATAACTTATTTTTTTTCCACAATATTTAAATACAGAAAGAAGCACTTACCAGCTATTTTGTAATACTGCCCTAAGAGCACTGTTGCATCAGTTAAAAGCTTATTATGGTGGCAAAAACGTCTTTTTGTGGGAAATAACCAGAATGGGACTGGTTTTTTTTTTTTATTCTTTTCTCAGCTGAAACAAAGTGCCAGGAACACACACACACAGAACTGAGTTTTAATTAAGAGTTAATAATCATGGCAACCCTTCACCTTTGCACAAGTGAACGCAGCTTTTAACACTTCAAAAATGAAGCATCACCCTTGGGAATGAAATGCTTGTCCTCCACAAGCAGCAACCACACTGGGTAGAGCTTAAGAGTCTCCTTCTTTTGAGAGAAGTTTAGTGGGTCAGGGAGTTGCAAACACACTTTAAAAGGCTGATTTATTCAGTGGAACAACATTAAGCCAAAAGGAATTTGCCTCAACCGGTTCCCCCGTGTTCCATGACTGGTGTCTGGATACTTGTGGGTTCATTTGAAAGACTAAGGGCAGCATCCAGTTCCCACTGGGGACCCCTTAAGGCCTCACAGTTCTTCAGACCCCATTTCCTCACCCACCTGCAGCAGGAGATGGCTGCCCCTCCCAAAATGAAGAGCATCACCAAAGATGCCCTGGCTCTGCTGGCTCATTTGCAGATTTTTTTGGGGGGGTTCCTTTTGCAACCACATCCCAGAACAGCCCTTCTCTGCAGGGTTTATCCCAGGATTCCCCCCCGGCTCTCCAGCTCCTGCCAGGAGCACAGGAGGCTGGGGGGCTGCTTCCCCAGGTGGGCAGTAAGGCTTTAGGGAATTCTCCTGGTTGTAAAACCAAGGATCATTAGTCAATCCTAGCTCTTAGCACCTTGCACTGGGACCTACAGCGACGTACCCACACACAACACCACGACTGGAGGCCACGGCCACCCCACGCCACGACCACAGAGAGGAACAGCGAGCCAGAGTCCTGCAAGGGGGGCAGGAGCTGTGCCCCCACGCCCCCAAAATTCCATCCATTTCCACCTAGAATACTGGGAATCCTCCAACAGGTGTCTTCATCCCAAGCGTGGATCACACAAAACTCCAGACTCTTCCCACACAGCGTTTTCCTCCAGGTGACACGCGAGCCTCGGAATCCTCTCCATTTTCACAATGAGCTACTAAAAAAAAATTAGATCATATCCTTTGGAAAACCAACTAGAAGGTCACAGGGGTAAGTTCCTTAATGAGAAGGGCACGTTAATAACGTCTTCATTAAAAAAAAAAAAAAAACCCCAAACATTAAAGTATTATTTTAATGAAATCAAAGTGGTAGCATCCAGGAGCAGAGCGTTAATAAAAAGAAACGACCACTGTCCACGACATCTCTCCTTTGCAGTGTTGTTTTCCCATTCACTCTTCTCTCAGCAACATTCAAACATTTTGTTTCCCTTTTATTCTTTTGCTTTTTGGCATTTTCTTCAACGTGTCATTTCCTGATGCCACCTCAAAGAGCCTCTTTTTTTTTTTCTTCTAAGCACAGTCTCACCCACCAGGCGAAGTCTCCATTAAAGCCCCTCATTAAAACACCACGTGGCTTTTGTACTTCATTGAGCCTCCAACCAACCCCCTCCTGGACGTTCTCCTCCTCCTCCAGGGAAAATCCAAAGGTCCTTCACATCACTGTGCAACTCTTTGCTTTGTCCTTTCTCAAGTCTGTGGCCACTGTGGACAGTTCTGGCCTGCCGGGCATGTGTGAGATTCGCTTTGTCGCCCTCTGCGATTTGTTCCGTTTCACGTTTTTGTTTGTTTTGTTCACACAAGCCAAGGTGGCGACGTGAAAAATGTCTCTGACGCTGTTTTCTGACTGTAAGGCTGAGCATTCGATGTACGTGGCTGCTCCAATCTGCTTGGCCATATTTGCACCCTGAGGGGAAACAAAGAAAGAAAACAAAAAACATGTGATCAATACTAAGGTTCTGAGGGAGCCAAAGCAAAGCTCATAATTACTTTGCAGAGCTTTTTTGGGGTTTTTTTTTGGTGAAAACCAAAGCCAAGTCTCCAGCAGCTAATTTTGCAAAATAAACAGTTTTGCTTCCCAGGATGAGCTGAACGATTATCCAACCATTTAGACAGAAACTGGAAGAGGAGAGAAACTCTTGCAAACAAGAACAAAAAGCCTAAAGAGTCTTAGTCTGGCCTATTTAGCACTTTCACCTTTAGCAATATCACCTTAACATGTGATCAATACTAAGATTTGGAGGGAGCCAAATCAAATCTCATAATTCCTTTCCAGTGCTGGGGTTTTTTTTGGTGAAAACCAAAGCCAAAGCTCCAGCAGCTAATTTTGCAAAATAAAATAATTGTGAGTTTTGCTTCCCAGGATGAGCTGAACGATTATCCAACCATTTAGACAGAAACTGGAAGAGGAGAGAAACTCAGTGACTTGCAAACAAGTGCAAAAAGCCTAAAGAGTCTTAGTGGGGCCTCTTTAGCAGTTTCACCTCAACTTCAGTCCATGAATTACATGCTCCTGGAAAAGGTCTGGAGCTGGCAGCTCCCAGATTTAAGCCTATCTCTAAGGAAAAAATGGATTCTGGGCCTTAAGGAATAACCAGCTGCCCCTGTTAAAGCAAAGTTCATCGGGAAATGTGCTGTGGGCTCAGGGATGGTTCTATCAACTTCTAGCCAGGGAATAGGGAAAAGAAGGAAAAAAAAGACATTAGGGGTTAGAGGAGCCCTTCTTTTTTGAGTTTGAGGGCACTAAAAGTCAAAGCAGGGATGTTTGTTCCAGCAGCACAAGGAAAACAACACGTGACACCCACAGATGACAATGACCCAATATCCTGTTGTGGATTTTGCTCCTGGGACACAATACAGCATTATGTGAAAAAATGGAGTTGTCTCAGTGGAATTTTACTTCTGGGGGATGAATCTTTGGTGAAGTTATGAAATCCAACCACATCCTTGACGTGCCACTCCTCACATATTCACGGGCACGAGCTGGTCCAACCCCTCCTCTTTGTTCTTTGCCAGGCTGATGGCATCAGCCTCATCAGATCCAGTTGTCAATCCTCACTATTTACCCTGCAGTGATGCAGCCACTTTATCAATTTGAAGTGGGAGTGGTTGATAAAGGAGTATTGGCTTGTAGGACAAGCCCTCCCCACAGTCAAACACCTCAGCTCCTACCAACCCACGCCGTGGAGCCTCAGCAGTGTTTGCTCAGGTGTAGCTCAGTGGAAGTGGGTAACACACAGGAGGAGGGTGTCACCACCAGGCCTTTATCATCCCAGTGCTTCCTTATGAGCTCCAGAGGAATGGGAAAGCCCCACTAAGCTCTCTGATCCCGTGTGGACTTAGCCAGGGGAGGGAATTTAAGATTAAGCCGTGTCTCGACCCCGGAGGACCCAGCGCGGGAGTGTTGGGTTTGTTTCGTGCCACCAGGAATTTGGCAGCCACAAAATACACCAAACACTGCTCAGTCCAAGCTTTTGCTTACAAAGACTGGAGAGGAAATTATGGGCTTCCCTGGAACACATACAATTTTCCCTTTGGATGCCAAGGAATAGCTCCTGGCTCAGCCCTTGGTCTTCAGCTGACTCCTTTTCCTCAGGGGTACAGGCTGAGCTGGGACTCCAGGGGTGAATCAACCTCCAGGGAAAAAATTCCACCTGCCAGCAGATTTTTGATCACTCTCTGATCACTCAAGGGGTGAGACTCGGTGATTTTACTGAAGTACTGCAATTTCTCAATTTAAACATGCTGCAGGAGCAGCAGTAGCGATCCCATATTAGGAGCTGTTGGTTTGGGAATCTCAGATTGTGAATAAAACATCAAAAACTGGTTGATAGCACAGGATAAAGACACTGAAGTGGCTTCTGGAGGTACCACTCTCCCTCCTACAGGGTGTATCTGTCACCACCACTGTGATTCAGCTGCAGTGATCACACACATGTGAGTAATAAAGGCAAGTTGACCTCAGAGCCCAGTTTTCCCATTCCTGCTCTCCCACGACCTGATTCCTTTCCCTTTCACCTCAGTTTATCTCTCTCCCAATAGCTCCAGACTTCTCACTTCCACAGCAGCTCAGAACACTTTCAAGAATTAAGGTGCTTTCTGGCTTTGCTGCCACCTTCAGAGGGGTCTACGAGGTGCCTCCCCAGGTATTTCAAGGTATCAAGATTTTAAAGGGGACAGATTAGATGCAAACACTTGTCGTGATGACAAGTCAAATGAATGACATTCAAACCTAAGACATTTTGGGCAATCTTACCAATCTGTCAGTAAATAAGATGTGTCAGCTCTCGGTTCCTTTTTGGTGGTCCTCAGGGGCAGAATGAGTTAAGTTTATCTACAATTCATTTAAAAATCTCTTTGCAATCAATAAGGCTACAATCTTATGGTGTTTAAAGCTATGATGTGTTGTGGGGCTGCAGGATTTCCTGCTGCATCCAATCTGTGGGCAGCCTTGGCCTTTGCTCATCCCTTTCAAATTCACCTCCTAGAGCACATCCACTTTCTAGGATGTCAACAAGGAGGGGAGAAATTGTTCCTAGAGATGGTTACAGTGACAGAAAAGGGGTTTATCTTCCACCCTTAAGTCCAAGGAAGGCTGTGGCACACACCTGGTCGTAGGACACGGGGGTCTGCCTGTGGTTGGAGAGCTCCACCAGCGTGGTGACATCCGTGCGCAGATCCGACTTGCAGCCCACCAGGAGCATCTTGGTGTTGGGGCAAAACTCCTGGATTTCACCTTTCCACTGTAAAATTAAGTCGTTGTTGTTGTTATAAGCCAGGTAGTTAAATGTTTAAATCCACAAGCAGCAATAGATAGGAGATGAAGTTTAATAAGCCATGACATCCCCCACAAAAATATTCTCACATAATTGTTCTGCCTCGGAGCTGGTTTCTGAAGGCACCAGCTCCAGCACGACCCAGCCAGGGATGAAATCTCAGTATCTCACACACTCATTCATTCCACTGACTTACTAAGCAAGAGGAAATGAGATTATTTACCTACATGAGTAAAGGTTTGCTGACCTGTTGCTTCTCACACCCAGCCAGAGACATTTGATATCTGGTGTCACCACGTTCGGTGGCTCCTCAAGAGCTACCACAAAATAAGCACTGCTAAATATTGGCTCATGGTTAAATCCTCACACCCAAACCAGCACAAATCTGTCAAAGGTTCAACCTGTGAACCATCAAAAAGCCCTTCAAACAGAACTTGTGATATATCCTTTGTTTTTCTCCCTCTCTACAAAGTCATTCTGAGAACACCAGAGAGCCAAAAATTCAGCAGCATAATGAGAACAGATGAGAATCCCTAATAGGTTAAAAACACAAGAAAGTCGAAGATTTCACAGCATAACCTGATCAGATGATAATCCCTAAAATCTAAGGTTATAATTCGGGTTTAAAAGCATATTAAGAAAAATTTACACAATGAGGCAACCTTAGAGTAACCAACATTATCAGAGACAATAAAAATACAGTTCTGGATGGTTCTTGGCACAGTTTGTAGCTGAGAGAATAGTTTTTAAGCATTTTCTGTAGGCTATTCAGAGCATTGTATGCCACTTTATCCCAGTGAGACAAGAACCACTGGCCCCAGCTACAGAAAAAAGAGGAACTTCAGGTCATTAAACCTTAAAAAACAGTGCAAAGTTGAGTCATGCTCAGCAAGGGGAGCACCAGGACCACCTCGAACACAGAGCCTGATTATCAAAATTCAGTGTTTTCCCTCATGGAAAGTCTGACTCTGAATCTTGGGTCACTGAGATTGTATTTCCATGCCACTGCTTGGTCTGCTGGTGGCTTCCAGAGGGATTTGTCACTGGCTGAGGAATTATGTAAAGCCATGGCAGGACTCCAAACCCTTGGCTGGCACGTTTTAACCACCTGTACAACATGGCCAAGTTTCTCAATCCTGTCTCCTACAGGAGCATCATGTGAGAGACAATTCCTTGCTGCACCTCACACCACCCTCACCAACTCCCTGCTGTCTAAGGGCTGAGGAATGAGAATTTCCTTCAGCCCTCAACATCCATTAGTAGAGCCTTTGTTTCCAATTAATTCACCCCTTTCAAACAAACTGAGCTGGAATTCCAGCCCTGCAAAGCACTGCCCCAAAGAAACAAAGTGAAGTTTCCAGTGGAGGAACAGCAGCACTGATTTAAAGACAGCTTCTCCGACAGTTTTATGCTCAGATGTTTCCCAAAACTTGCCTTTTTTAGGACACTGTCAAGAGTTTCTGGCCTACTGATGTCAAAGCAGATCAGGACAGCATCAGAATCTGGGTAGGAGAGGGGACGGACGTTGTCATAATAAGGAGACCCTGCAGAGAAACAAATAACATTTTTATTAGTTTATATTTTATTTTCTGCACCTACTCAAGCTTATTCAGAAAGTTTAGAGAAGTTTTCAGTTAAACTCTTTAATAGCACCCAGCTATTTTTTTTCTCCAACAGAACAGTATTCCCCAAACACTCATCATTGTTCATTTTCCCCACTTTCCTATTGTTTCTCACCTCCAAAAGCAGCAGCTTTCCCAAGTAATTCAGAGTGATGGCACCCCAGTGATCCATCTCCCACCAAAAGCCTCCCAACAACAAGGAGAGGGAAATAGGGTCAGCCTAAGTTTAAGTCCCAGCATTAACCTGCAGGGATTGGACTTGGGAGAACAAATCCTTGAACTCCGAAAGGCTTTTTCAAAGGAGATTTGCCACACTTGTGCTCTCATGGAAAAACAAAAACCACATAAAGCTTTGAAATTCAGCAGTTTTGATTTGTCTAACAGTTAATTTAAAACAAACAGCTCCAAGGGCAAAAAAGCATTGTTAGTTGTCATGGATATTGGGAATTTTTAGACGAAATTCTTGCTTCCAATTAAAGCATTTATTGCAGGAGTCCAGCAGGAAGGAATCCCAGTCCTGTAGGCAGGCAAGTTGTCTGTCACAAAAAGCCTCATTAATCTGTAAACCAATAAATGCTTGCAATAAATGTTTATGATTAGCCCATAAACCGGATTTTTATCAAGGAGATCAAAGCTAATTTAGTGATCTGGGGGAACAGATGCAGGCACAATATTGCACTTTGGGCATGTTTTACTTGCAGAGCTGGGAAGGGTTTTCTTCAAGAATGCTCAGGATGTGCAGAGTTACAAATACATCAGAAATGCCATTTTAATCAGCTGGTGAATCTGGCAACAGGTTTGGGGAAATAAAATCTTCCTTTTTTTTTTCCCCCTAAGAAAGAGGAAACCAGCATCTGGTTTGGCCTTAAGTCTGCTGTGCTTCACCACCTGAGGAGAACATATTTCTGATTTAAAAAGGTGCTTAAACCAGTTAAGTGGCTCAACAGGGCAAGAGCCTGGGCTTTAAAATGCATGCCTGGAACTTAAAACTCATAACACACCCTTATTTCTGTAATTTTTCTTTTTCTCACCAGCCTACAACCCAGCAGAGAACACACTCAACAAAAACACAGCTTCTGGGGGGTTATCAGCTAATTATGCCACCAATTTCCCAGCTCTCTGGGACTAATTGGCTGGAAGGCCTCAGAGGCTGAGGGATTAGGGAAATTCTTCGAGTTTTTAAGTGACAGGCAGTTGCACAAGGCAGAGCAGGGGATGGTGTGAACAGTATGACTTCAGTTGGGCAGCTTCTACAGCACGGAAAGGAGTCAAGAATCCCAGGAATGTTGTTTTTGAAGTGAAGGGTAACACATGGGGAATGAAGCCTTACCAAACTAGGTAGCAGAAGGTAATTTGTTGCACGAGGCTGTTTTATTCAAATGCTCATCTTCATAAATGATGTCAAGCTGACAAAGAGGCAGCTGTCAAGAATTGCTCTTCACACCACAGTTAACTGAATTCATCCCTAAATGACATGTTGGGGACAACTCTGAGGGAGGTGACCCGTAGTAAACTACTCACTGGAGCTCAGCTCCGCTCCCAGGGACTATCAATAAGCATTTTCCCTGCTAATTACTCTCCAGCTATCTCCAGCACTGCTATTACAGCTCCATCCTGCAGCCCCAGGGCCAAGTTATTCCTCCTGAAGCCCCAGGGCCAAGGGATGTGCCCTGGACAGAGGAACTGCAGGACAATGTGCCATAAACTGGCCAAAGCCCAGCCCATCTCCACGCTGAGCTCCAGCATGTAAGGGCAGGATGGAAGAGCTTTAATGCCAAGTGGTTGCTGGTTGGAAAGGAGGCTCAAAAAAAAAAAAAAAAAAAAAGCCTCACCCAGAAACTAATTCCTCAGACACATACCTATCTCCTCACTCAGCAGGCTCCAGGGATACAACACACCATATATGTCCACCAGCATGTATTTATGTATACACAGAGTCACCACCTCCAGCCCTGAGACTCCTTCCCACCCCGTCAGCTGGAGCTTTGAGGGTTTTGCTCCTCAGCTTTTCCCTCTGGAGCTCTCCTGGTAAAGATGCTGAGCTGGGATAAATGTATTTTTCAAGGCCAAGAGGAATATCCAACACCTTTTCTCTGGCAGAACAAACAGGAACCGTTTAAACTACTCGGGCTGCAGGATCCACAAAGGAAATTTCCTGCTCTCATTCAGCAGCAATAACTGAGCCTTTATTGCTGTGCAAATAAAAGAGGGGCTGCAGCTCTCACTGTGCAGGCCTATTCAGGCTGGCATTTCATCCCAGAGAAACCCTCAGAAGGCAGGAATGCCAGGAATGAGGCTCACTCAAGTCTGAACAGACAACTCCAGCTCGCTCTTTTTCATGTTGAGCTTGCAGAGTTGAAGCCCTGCCAACCCTCGAAAACAGAAGGAAAATGTAGGGCTGGAGCAGTGGTGTTTGTGGAGAAAAAAAACAAAGAAAAATCAGCCTATTTGTTTTTGGGATCCTGCTCCTACAAAATAAAACGTTTTTGGCGAGGACGACACGGGTGATTTTTCAGTTTTAGCAAGGAATTGCTGATAGTTCATCTCCCTCTGTGCTGGGAGTCTATCCCAGCTGCAACCTTCCTTTTTTTATTCGTTTGGCAGCTTAAATAACTTAAGGCAAAATACTTGAAACATTAAGAATGATCTACTTTTGAACCCTTACGTTTCGTGCAAAGTCCAACATAAATTCAGCTTTTAAACTGAAATCAAACCCCTCCCCAGCAATGTTGGTCTTGAGCAGATACCAAGCTTAGGCTTAAATGTTGCTATCTTAATAAATAACAGAATTATATCATTACTAGCTAGAGAATACTGAATTTTTTGGTGGTTTAGCACTGCTCTAAGATGCTAAATCAGGGAGAGCTGTTTGTCTGGAGGATCCAAAGCCACCAGCAGCTCCAAGCAGGAGGTTCAGCCCCACATCCCACCACTTGCCCATGGGCCTTGAGGGAAGTGATGCTCAGTAACAGGCAAGACTTTCCTATTTCCACACCACCAGGCTTCAGGTCTTTGTAGCCTTTTGGAGCCCAGTCAAGTGAAAGAACAACAGATGAGCAGCAGCATTTTCACTCCCAAACCCTTGGGCTCACTTAATTATCAGCTCCAGAGAAAACACATCAAACACACAGTGGCTGCTCCAAGGAGCTGATTCACTGCTGCTGGTTTTCCTCCTTCCAAAAAAACTTGGCTGGTCTGGAGTTCAGGTGATTTTTCTGGGCTATCACAGAACCTGTGATCTCCAAGCACACGAGGATCACAAAATCCAGGGCATCTTCAGCGTTCTCATCAAAGAAAACAGGACTTTGGGAGGTGACTTGATTTTAATGCCAATTAAAATTAAAAAAACAATAAAAAATAAGAAAACTAGTTACTGTTACTCTGCCATTAAAATAAGAAAATCACATGGTTCAACTTCCAAGTGGAACTGGAAGGCAGAGGAAGAAACTGGATATTTCTTTTAAAGTGGTTACTGCCAGGGAACTTTGGGAATTAGGAACTTTAATTCCTCTAAGTTTCAGTCTCGGGAAAGAGAGACAGTACAAACTTCATAATTAATATTCTGCTTCTCTATGGACACTGAGTACACTGTATACATCCAAATCCCAGCAAAGCCAACTTGACTTAAAGCTCCAAGGTCCTTCTGGATTTAATTACCTGCTAATCCCCAGCAGTGCCCAAGTATTTCTGGCCCTGTTGTGAATTATTTTATTGGAGTATCCAGTGCAGTTTCCACGGTTCAAGCAATAAAAAAAGCCCTAAAATACATTTTAGGGAGACCCAGGTATGAATACCTAATTAATGCATGTGATTCCTATGCCACAGCTGCTGTTGTCCCAGTAAGAAATATAAATATCACTTTCAATGGAAAAAGCCAAAAAACTTGGTAATTAGATTAGACCATGACAGATAAAGATAGATGACTAATAGAGAAGTGGTCCACTACTGTGCAAGTACAAAATGAAGCTTTAACCTGGAGAAATTCTAACATTGTACCTCCCAAAACAAGCCCACAGCTCCCAAACAGCTCAAAACTACCACATGTTACCACAGAGTGGAATAATTTATGGTGCAGGGAGATTGCAACCAGACATTCCTGCTTTGAGAGGAGGCTTGGTAGTCCAAAACCCAATTGAAATTCAAGTTGGCAAGTGCTTCCCTTAATGCTGTGGCTAATTTAAATCCTTCTAATGACTTGCAGAACTAGACAGTACCAGAAAACATTTGAATAATGAACCTTCCCATTCCACTCTTTACTTGGAAGAGTGTGTTGTGTCTTGGATATGCCCATAGCAATATGAGACAACAACAGCTTCCCAATAAATTGCCAGTCAGCTCTAAACTTTCCTATCAGCTGCATGACTCCTAAATTTTGTACCTAAGGGTCCTCTAGTAACAAAACACATTGTTATTATACAATAAAGAATTATAAACAGCAGGGCCTGTTCTCACCCTGACACAAGGCTGTTTTAACCCACAGCTTTTCTCATTTTCCCAGTGAGCAAAAAAAAAAAGTTGCAAGTCAAATATATCCTTCCAAAGGATTCACTGCAAAACCCAATTTTAATTCAAGGAAGGGAATAAAAGGTAAGGTAGCCTGTTAGATGCTCCCAGTTGGAAAAGAGTTAAAGAAAAGATGGATAATAAGTACTTAAAAGTATCTGCAATGTATTGCAATCAAATACCATCTTTCCCCCTCTTTCAAGAGATCCTGAAGCACCTCACCCTGACTCCAGCCAGGTTGCAATGGCCATGATCTTCCATTAGCACTTGGCAGTCAATCAGTCATATTTCTAAGTTAATTAGACCCAGCCCTGCTTCAAAAACGTCATTCAGACATATATTCTAATTCAGCAGAGGACCAGGACAAAGACTTGTAAAAATTAAATTACCAAGACTTGAAGATAATGCTAAAACACTATCTTATCTCCTGCTGGCTCTTATCTGCTGATGTGATTTTGCTCTGGGTTAATGGGTTTGGGGACTGCTGCTTCCTGCAGATGGTGAGAAGGGATGTTTATGGAGACAAAATTCCTCATCCAGAGTCCCCCAGGCAAAGGATCCACTCAGCAACACTTTATAAGACCAAGTATTGGCTTTTTCAAATATTTCCTCTTCGTTTTTGGATGCCAGACAAATTACCCACTTGATCTCAAGCTTCTGACTCAACCAAATTTTCTGTTAGTTCAGGACAGTCCCAAGAGGACAAAAGGCTGCCAAGGTGTTCCTTCCACTGCATTTGCCTTTTGAAGTGCTATGGAATATTTCATTACATGGGTGTCTCCAGCCTTTGACAACCAGATCCCAAACCTTCCCAAGTCAAACAGCTTCACCTGTGTATTTTAACAGCTAAAGATAAAATTTTCCAAAATAACCATTAATTTTTAATAAGCCCTCACTCCACGGTAAAGCCAGCTTAGTAATGAGGATGAAAGCTCAAACCAGACACACTCTGGAAGTCTGCAAGTCTCACTTGGCATAAGATGAAGAAAAAAAAAATCAGCTCAGAGCCACGCTGATACTGGCTGTGCGCTGAGACTGCCTTTTCCCAGTAATCGTGTTGCAAGAATTTGGAATCATTTCCTCAAGAGCACGAGGAAAGCCAACCCGCCTCCTGAACTCCTTTTTTTAAAGAGGGATTAACATTTTCATTTCTGGTAAGAGAACTGCTGTCACATTTAGCAGAAATTGCTGGCTCCAAATTCAGCATCAACGAGCCACCGCCACGGGCTGCCTGAAGAAGAAAGGGGGTTGTGTGTCCTGGCAGGTTCCTCCGGGCTTTTTTTCCCAATCAGTTCTGTGGATAATGATGCTCCCACACCTCTGTTTAGGGTTCATGGTGTCACTCACCCCTGGACACCTCAGAGTTCTCAGTTATCCAGAGCAGAGACACCCTGGCTGCCCACGCTCCTCTGCAGCAAGTTTAGGGTGCATCCTCATCCCCCTGGCTCTAAGTTCAGTCCGAATTATCAAGATCTAGGAGAGTTCATGTCTTAACATGTCTTAACATGTCTTAACATGTCTTAACATGTCTTAACATGTCAACTGAGACAGCCAAGCACTAAAAACCTCAAGCTTTGAGGCAGGAGAGCCAGTTTTTGGCACGGTCACTTGAAGGTGCAACCGGAAAAACGAAGAGGACCTTCAGCATTTATTTCATTATGTAGAAGAGGATGGTTCCTTCTGCATCCTAGAGGAACAGGGATAACAGAGGAACAGGGGATAAAGGCTAAAGGCTTTCCCTAAAAAAGCCTTTCCTGCCCTTAAAGACTTTCTAAAACATCGTGGGAGGGAAAAAAAAAAAAAAAAAAAAGTCCTGTATTTTGTAAAACACCAAGTAGGCATTAAGGAGGCCACAAGGAGCTCCAGGGCGAGCTGATGTCATTTGCCATCACCATAAAAAACACCTTTTCACTCTCCTACGAGGGTTTCCAGGCAGCAGCGGAGCGAAGGTGCCGCCGGAGCTGCCCGGCTGAGCTCGCCGCAGGCAGGTGAGGACACAAACCCTGCAATGCTGACGAATCGTCCACACCCTCAGCCAAGTATATCCTTAAACTACATCCTGGATTTTTTTTGTTTTTTATAAAAAAGCACCCAGGAGCAGCTGGATGCGGAGAGGGCGAGGGGCTGCGGGAGCTGCGGATCTTCCCCCCCCCAACCCCCCAAATTCCCGGGATGCGAAGGGAGCGCTCACCCGAGGTGTCCCAGAGGCTGAGCTCGATGCGCTGCGTGTCGATCTCGAAGCTCGCCGTGTAGTTCTCGAACACGGTGGGGACGTAGCTCTGCCGGGAGACAGCGCAGGGTCAGCCCGCCAGCATGGACCGATCCCAACCCCGACCCCAATCCCGATCCCATCCCGGCTCCAGCTCCAAGCCCGGTGCCGTCCCTCTCACCTCGGGGAAGCAATCCTTGGCGAAGACGTGGAGCAGCGCGGTCTTCCCGCACTGGCTGTCCCCCACCACCACGATCTTGCACTTCACGTTCTGGTTGGGATCCATCACCGCCTTGCTCGATAACTTCTGGCTCGCTCTTCTTTCCTTCATTGATCTCCGCTTAGTCCCTCGGCCGGCCACGACAGAAGAGGGGAGGGAAAAAAAAAAAAAAAAAAAAACAAACCAAAAACCCACCCCCGCACAAAAGGGTTTCCCCCAAAAAAAAAAAAAAAAAAATTAATTTAAAAAAAAAAGTGCCGAGCTGGAGGTGGCAGAGCCGCGGAGGCGCCGCCGCCGCTGCTCCCGCCCGCCCGCCGGTCCCGCGCTCACTGCTTTGTCCCCCCGCCGCACGCCCCCATTTATAGCCTCGCGCCCGCCAATCACCGCCCGCCGCTCGCGCGGGCCACGCCCCCCTCCGCCGCGCGCCGCCGGAGCACAGCGCCCCCTGGGGGACCCGCGCGGCGGGGCAGCCCCTCGGTGAAGGGGAGGGCGGCGCGGGGAGCGGCGGGACAATAAAGGGCGGTTTTGTGGCGTTCTTTTTAAATTTTAGACAGGCCGTCCTTAAATGTCAGCGCTACGGTTGGGAATCTGCGGTATGTGGGGCTGTGTGGCCTCCAGAGGGGCGGACAGGTGGTCCAGGGTCCCTCTCAGGGTGGTCCAGTGCCTCAGGCTGGGATGAGGAGGGATGAGAGGAGACATGAGGAGAGATGATGAGAACCGAGAAGGAATGAGAAGAACTGAGGAGGGGTGAGAGCTGAGACATGAGGACAACCAAGGAGAGATGAAAAGAACTGAGGAGGGCTGAGGAGACACGAGGAGGGCTGAAAAAGGCTGAGAAGGTCTGAGGGGAGCTGAGAAGGGCTGAGGAGAGTTGAGGAGGGCTGAAAAAGGCTGAGGAGAATTGAGGAGAGATGAGGAAACATGAAGAGGCTGAGGAGAGATTAAAAATGCTGAGGAGGGCTGAAAAAGGCTGAGGAAGGCTGAAAAAAGCTGAGGAGGGCTGAGGGATGCTGAGCAGAGCCCCTGGGCTGAGGAGAGCCGCCCACCTTCAGCCTGGATTGCCCCCCAGGGCTGGCTCAGCAGGGTGATGCTCGTGATGGTGGGCAAAGGGGCTTTTCCCCCAAAACACGGTCACAAGGAGCATGTCGGGATCTCACAAAAGCATAGAATCGTGGAATATCCTGAGTTGGAAAGCACCCAAAAGGACCATCCAGTCCAACTCCTGGCTCTGCACAGACACCCCAACAATCCCACCCTGTCCTGAGAGCGTTGTCCAAACCCTCCTGGAGCTCTGGTAGCTTTGGGGCCGTGCCCACTGCCCTGGGGAGCCTGGTCAGTGCCCAACCACCCTCTGGGGGAAGAACCTTTTCCTGAGATCCAACCTGACCCTGCCCTGGCACAGCTCCAGCCATTCCCTCAGAACACCAGAGAGCAGAGATCGGTGCTGCCCATCATTAACTTCCTATTTTTCAGCTTCCTGGACACGACCCCGAGCAAAACTGGCTGAGGGCTGACATCATTCCTGAAGGGAGAGCCCCGAACAAGGGCTGGTTTGTGAGCGGCTCATAACACTCTTCTCCTTCAAGTGCTCCTCTCCTCTCCCATATGGCTCTGCATGGCACACAGATGCCCTCGTAAAAGGGCTGCCAGCAGCAGGAGGGCTGGAGCAGAGCCTGCCTCCCCTCCTTGCTTAGACCAGGCTTTGCTTAGACCAGGCTTTGCTCAGGCCAGGCTTCACCCAGCACAGCCGGACACAAGAGTGTCCTTCCTGAAGGTGGGGTCTTGGCCTTATCTCTTGAGTCATCCAGGTCATGAACTATCTCCGTGTCAGTTCTGGGCTGAAACGTGAGCAATTCATCAAGTTTTACAACAACATCCTGAAAAAAGGAAGCGCCACCGTCCCGTGCATGTTTGACCATAGGGAGATGCTGCACTGACTCACACAGGAGAATCCCAAACATGACATTTCAAAGCTCAGTGCTGGTATTTTTGTCTTTGCTGTGACGTGCCGCGTTTTCATCTGGTCAAATTACTCATCTCTAATGAATTTTCCAAAGAATTTGGTTTCTGTTTGGAAATCACGAGCGAAACACTGAAATTTGCAGCGTCTGCCTTATTTGTAAAGCCTTGGAGCAGACAGATTTCCATCTCTTTTTTTTTTTTTTAATTTAAAGCTAATCTCAGCTCTTTTGCAGCCTCCATCCAACCCCACTGTCCACCAGGATTTTGGATATATGGGGGAATGGGAGGAATAAGCAAATAATGCTCATTGCAAACTGGGTTTCTCCCTGTTGTTCAACTGTGAATATTTGAACAGGAGAGAAATCTGGAAAAATACAGTTGTGTCAATGCTGTCAGGTCTTCTCCAAAGGGCAGAAAATCCTGGTTTTTCTGCCTTCCCTTCCACTCTGCACTGAAACACGTGGCAGCCTCATGGGCAGGTGGGACAGAGCTCTGGAGGTCCTGCTCTGCCTCTCTGAGTCCAGCATGCCAACAGAAATGGAATACAAGGAGGGAAGAAGACGGGGTTGAAAGAGCTCTTTGTTCATCCTGGATGGGAGCTGGGTGTGAACATCTGCTCCCGTTCAGTTCCTCGGGCACCTTCCTACACATGGACACAAGATGCACCAAAGCCAGTGCTGATGCTGCTCGTTCCTTGGTGGTTTGGCTTGGCCAAACCTTGGAGGAGGAATTGGTGCCCCAGGGCTGGGGGAGACATCTCCCTCACACAGCTCACATGGAAAATCCACCCTCATCCAGCTATGTGAGGAATGTGGAAACTTTAACGCACAAGAAACACTTACTCATCACGGGCAGAGAGCTTCCATCACCACTCTTCCCAGTGAGATCATGTTTACATGATTTGTTTTTTCCTCTCCAGGGCTTGCCAGCATCACCCGGCCGAACCCCAGGGATTTTGGGGTGCCCTGCAGTGCCCTGGGCACTGGTGACAATCAATAAACCAGTTCCTGCCTGCTCAGAAACCTCCAGCTCGTTGTCATTCCTTGGGGAAGCTGCTCCAGATATGTTAATCCCCATAAAACTATTATTCATGTCATACTCTTAAGTTTAATGCCTTTTCCCATATCTTGATAACGTGGTGGGGGCTGGGGTTTCCATCAGTATTGTTCACACGCAGTCTGGATCTGGATTTATAAGGCAGAGAGGTTCGTGCTTTGCTCAGTTCAAATTCCCCATTTTTCTCCAGATCTGATCCTAGACTTTCACAGTTTCTCCTCTTTCCATCCAAGAAAACATTCTGTGTGTATTAATAACACACACACAATCTAGTACTGGCGTGGTAATGACTCCCAAACTGATATAAGATTTCATGGGAATATCAAAATACGTTTTTCTGCTCTCACAAGTAATCTGTCCGAACGCTTTCTACTGCTATAATAAATCAGCTGAGAACAAGTGCTTTCGGTTTCAGAGTAAGTGCTCCACAATTTAAATCTAAAATTGCCCTCCAAATCTCTCTCTCTCTGTGCAATGCCAACTCCTAAAGCATCCACGGAAAGTATGGAACAATACACATAAACCAGGGGCCTTACACATCCCACTCCTCCTCCTTTCTGTGCGCAGCTAGAGGGGAGGCACATTAAAAGACCATTATGAAGGTTCAAGGTCAGGCATTTGTGGATTAGGAAATGCGTGCTTCCTGTGTGTCGGAAGCGTGGGCTCCCCCGTGAGTACGTGGGGATAGTCATTAATTTCGGGATCACGGGTTATTTTTTTTTTTTTCCCGGCTCCCATTCAGCCCACGGAGTTGTATTGTCACCTTAACGAGCAGCTATTCAGAAACATCTGCACCTCTCCCGGGCCGCCGTGTAATCCCTGCCTCATTTAGGGCCGCTATTCACAGCCGCCTCCTGAACACAGACCCATTTGTTATCTCTTCTGCGGGGCTTATCAATGTCATATTCGAGTTCTTAACAGATGAAAAGAAATTATTTCTCGCTCTGCCGTGTGAGTGACGCGATCTGAGCCGGCCTGTTTGACAGGGAGAAGTGCTGAGGTCACAAGGACCTGCTAATTCTGGTCCATTCCCAATCCTTAACCTTATGCAGATGTTGGAAACAGAGCTCCTACTACTTTCCTGGGCAGCCATGAGGGTTTAGGCTTCAAATCAGAGACCGTGTAGGGAATTCTGTAGGGAATTCTCACTCGGGGAAAAACACGGTTCGAGCAGCTCGACTGCCACGCGTGGCTCAGACCCTGCCAAGGCACCAAACCCCAATTTCCTTCTGCTCCAGTGAGGGTTTAAAATGGATGGTGGCAGGGTGAGAACGAGCATCTCCCGTTTCGTGATGCTGGTGTAATAATATGCAGGAACACCGGCATGAAAATCAATGCTAATTAGCTGTGAACTGAAAACAAAATGAAGCTTGACACTCTTATAATCCCGTATTTTGGCATTTAGAAATCTGTCTGTAGCTACACTGCCGAGGAAGAGCTGAATAAATTCATAACATTAGTTTGAGACAAGTGACTCTCCCTCACCTGACTGACAGGTCGTTGGGTGCTACAGCTTGGATGGGATATAAAGCTCAGCTATTCCAAGTTTCAAGAGCTGAGGGCAACGCTTTAACAAAATTATAAACCCTCCAAAATGCTTTTAAAAGCCCTTAATAATTAAGGCAGGATATTAAGGCAGAGGACAAGGTATTTTAAAATACTGATTGTAGTGTAACTACTCACACACAGGCAGGAATCCCACCTCTCACGGCAGCCCCGTGCACTGTTGGCAGTGCCAGCAGCTCCTGGGATGTATCCAGAGGGCCCATTCCAAGATATTTATCCACATGGCATCAGCAGAATGGCAGGTGTGATGTTCTTTACAGAGGGTTAATACAGTGGATAAATGACTTTTCCAGGAGCACATGTGGAGACCACAGTGAAATGAGGTGATCAGCCTTTTCCCATGTTTGCTCTCTTCCCATCACACCACCCGGCTAAGGAGGCTCTGTAAAAGCCAGGAAAATTATGTGGATTATTCACACATATATCTGGATTCTGCCTCTGGAAAAGCTTGATGTTTTGGGAATAGGAAAATGGGTCTTTTAGGAGCCAGAGAAATGTTACCTGGGGCCACTTCTTAAAATCAGGGAATCCCAGAATGGTTTGGGATGGAAGGGACCTTAAAGACCAGCTTGTTCCACCCCCTGCCATGGGCAGGGACACCTTCCAGGTGCTCCAAC